AGCAGGGAAGATTTTCATAGTAGTCAAGTTTGAACCAGAGGATAACTATTTATTAATGCAGACACATCGTTCAAACAAGGCAAAATCAGAAGAAACCAAAGACACTGCATCTTCTGATTATATTGGAAACAAACAAACAAAAAAAAAAACTGCAGACTCAAGAGAAGTAACTAGGTGCACGATTTAGGAGAGAGAATCTCATCCCTGCAGATTCCTCTTGTAACTCCCTATTCTGATAGCATAGGAAAGAAAGGAATCTGAAAGGAAGATAATTTTCCAAAGCCAGAAGGAAAGCATCCCAATCAGCACTCCATAAAACTTCCCTTTTCCTTTTTTTCAGTCATAGAAGTAGTAAGTCAGAGCTTTCAAAGGCCTTTGTGGTAGGCATCTTATTTACACACAAGCTATCAAGAAATGTCCAGCTCTTTAGTTCTGTAGTCTTCCATTAAATAACCCCTCCTCCAATCCATGTAAGCCTCATGTTCAATTTTTGCTTTGCATCTGCTCAAACCTTTCAAGATCTCAATGCACAACACTGTTTTTTTTCCCCCACATTCAAAGCATAGATGTAGGAGGCAAATACCAGGATCCCAGCCACAAGTAGATAAGGTTTTTGTGTTCACTGCATCCTTCAACCAGATGTAAGGGAAGACTTTTCTTGGCCTATTTATGTGGTTTTTAAAACACACAACAAAAGAGTAGGTTACCTTCCCCAGAGGAGGATGCACATCAAAGAAAAAGGTCCGATTAATGTAGTAACTTCCCATCTTCCCAAAATGAGTCTCATCCCAACTGAAAAAAAAAACAACAGAAGTTACTCCAGTACTGAAAAAGTCAAAACCCAGAGAAGTAGTTTTCCTAATGTTTTCCATCATACAGCAATCATTACTGCAATTGCTCCTTTATGAGATAATGAATTTAATTCATTAAGAAAACAAAGACAGAGGGTACTGTAGCCAATTTAGTGGCAGACTCTTTTAAGAGTTTGACATTAGAGCGCCAAAGCTTCTGATCTTTCAACACACGCATGGCATTGAAAGGCTTACAGCTGGGCTCAAGAATCTCAAAGGTCTTTCCAACCATAATGATTCTGTGATCCTATCATCTACCTTTTTGGCTCCAGGTAGAGTTCAGAGGCAATAAAAAGCCAGTCTGCAATTCGCATGGGGCCAGGCTGCCACCCCCTCCCTGCAGCACTCCAACAACCTCCACAGCAGCAGGCAGGGCCCAGACGGCAGATGGATCCGCAGGACCAGGCTGCCATCCATGCGCCCGCTCACCACCGGCATCCCCCTGCACCACCAAAACCGTATCTCTTTGCAGTCGTGGTGGGGATGTTTGAAACCAGAGACGGAGGAAGCCGCAAGGAGGGGAAATTGTTGGCTCATTCTCTTCCT